CGAAGATTGGATTTCTGACAGCACGGTTGCCCGGATTTCTTGCAATTCCGCCTGGAAACCGAAAAAAAAAATGGAAGAAACTGGGGCAACAAAAAAGTAACAAAATTAAAAAACAATGAAGAATCGGGTAATGCTGGGGTACCAATGGTATGCGTTCGTTTAAAACTATTTGTGCTATATCTCTTGGTTACACAACGTTTTAGCCGCTCGAAGACTGTAAATTAAACTTTTAGAAATTAATGCGCACAGACAGCGAGTATACGTACCCTCAGCACACTTTCGCAAATCAGTACACACACTCCCAATGTATGTACATCCAGTACACACACAGACAGCGCATGTGCAACGTACGCGTAATTAAGGAGTTCCGATGACAACCAATTGGCGCATGCCTTCCCGCCTCAATCCCTCCTTCCCACTGTTCGTGACTTTGACGTATTTCTTTCCTCTGTAGATTGTCACCCCCACGTTACGAGAATGAAATTGAATGTCACTAGTAAAGATGATCAAAATGCGGGTAAACGTTGGTTGGTCATAAGAAAAACTGAAATCAGTTGGTTGACAGAACTTTGCTGATAAAAGCTGATGATCAACACCAATGAAAAGTGACAGTGAAGAGCAAATACAGCGGCAAGCTTTTTATATGCTTAAAAAGGAGGCAAACGTAGAAAATGCAAGCAGATATTTCAAAAGAGAATGGCTTGGCATAGCTACGGTCGAGTATGGCCATATCCAGAGGTCAAAAGAAGCTGAAACGCAAAGAAAACTTTTATGTTTGGCCTCGCTCGAGCATGGTCAAATCCAGGGGTCAACAGAAGCTGAAACGCCAAGCAATTTATCTGCTAATCAGATTCTGAAGTTTTAAAAATGCAAAACAAACCAATGAAATATCATCACTTTTAATTGTTGTATTTGCGATCAGCTCGGCGCGCAGACTTTCCTGGGGTGTTAGCACAGGCGATTTACAGGCGATTTCACAAGCCGCTTCGTACCACTCCTCCGGCCATAGACCTAAACATCGCTACTTTTCTCGCCCACCATTAAAGAACGGATAATATGCATGCATTAGACAGTATCTCCATTCTGAGTGCTCCAAACACGGCTCTAATCCGAAGCAAAACGCCAAAAAGAAAAGCAAGGTTAGTTACGGGGCAAAAATGACAAATAACAGAACGGCAAAGTGGATTATAAAATTTTAAAGAGCACAGAGAAGGCTGCCGATGAAGTGGATGGATTTATTCGAATGCCCACACGGAATTATGTGGACAGAATATCCAAAATATTGACGAGAGGCTGTCAGCTCCATAAATGGTGAGGGAATCTATAACTGATCAAAATATCTCATTCTCAAAATCTGGCGATCTTCCCAATTATAGCCGCGCCACAGATATAAGGAGAATGTGCGCACGGAGATAACCAACCTATTCGGGCAACGTTGAAGCCAAGCACAGTGCAATAAAACCAGAAGTCACGAAACAAATTCCTCAGTCGCACAGGTGGACTATGTATGGTCGTAGATCGACGCAACAGCGAAGCAATTTTTGGTATCAAAACACCCAAATTGCCTGCTCCAGTCGAAACCTAAAGTTGACATTGTAAGTGTTTAGCTGTTACTACAAAAGCAAAAACCAAAAACGCCGTGATCTATCCGGAAAACAAGGGCAATTCATCCGGTCCATACAAAAAACTTCCTGTACAAAAAGACAGCTTTCTTCTATAAACATAAAAGACCGCAACGCTCCAGCCCGATATTTCGTGTAAGCATTTAATTTCCAAAAAAAACGCCTTTTAAACAAGAGGACCATCAAGAAAAATCTCACTTTCATGACTTTTGCTGACTTTTCACCAGCTTTTCTGCCTTCATGTCCTAGCTGCACGAACAGTTCCAGCAGACGATACAACAGTGTCATTTTGTCCTCATCATCCCTCACATTCTCGGCCATCTTTGCCATCGCGTT